CTGATTTTTGTGGTAAATCTGTCCAAATCACCTTTTGGATGTAGTGCATGATGCATGTTCATTAGTTTCCATGTTTTCCAATCCAATTCTTCTAATTCGTTTTGAGTCCAATCTATTATTCCAGCTGGGTATCTAATTACTGGAACTGCCCATATATTTATGGCTTTGATTGTATTTTTCCCATTTAATTTTGATTTAAGATTTTCCTCAGCCTTTTGATATATTCCCTTTCTGTCCGTTTTTAAACTTTTGTGTGCATGATGTTATGTACTTCTAGCATTCCAAGTTATTTATAATTTTCATCACTTGATAGTGATTTTTATAATATTGCCATTTTTAAACTCTATTCATTTAGTGTTTCGATCTTGCCATGGTGTATAGGCAGAGCCACACATTTGTCAATTCCAAATTTCATTTGGATATCTTCACTAAATATTTGCACTGTGTTTAGCAGTGATTCTATTTCTGTGGAACTTGTTGCATACAGTATAGTTTTAGGTCATCCATGTATAAGAGATGATTAATTTTTCCTGCTTGTTTTTAAATATGGTAGCCCAATCCAGTTTTATTTAAGACTATTGACATGGAATCAGAGAGATGTTAAACAGCAGTGGTGGCAAAGAATCCCCATGAAATACATTTGATGTTAACATCCCCAGTTTCTTCACCATTAAGATGGTTTCAAGTTTTCCATAGTTTTCTTGAGGAACTTCTGAATGTTTTTACTAATCCCAGACATTTTAAGGCAGGTGTTAATCCAGCTATTTGGCAACGAGTCAAGTGCCTTTTTATAGTCTATCCAGGCCATGTTTGTTTTTCATCTTTTTACATTATTCAGTATCATTTATCAATAAGCAGCTGATCTTTCGTGCCTCTTGACTTTTTAAAGTTCCCTTTCAGTTCAATTGGGTATAGGGAGTTTTCAGTTAAGTTATGTCCGGTTGAGGTTTCCCACATTTCTTTCTAAAATTTTAGAGCATTATCTTTAGATGGGCCTGATTTCTTTTGTTCTCTATTTTCTCCTAGTGATGTACAGAACAATAACAGTGGTGCCTCGCTTAGCGATGTTAATCCGTGCAGCAAAAATCGCTGCTAAGCGATAACATTGCTAAGCGATTTTTAAAAGCCCATAGAAACGCATTAAAACGTGTTTAATGCGTTCCTATGGGCTTATAAACTAACCCTATGCGAAAATTCTCCATTGCTGCGGCCATTTTCGGTGCCTCTAATGTGAGGCAAAACAGCGGGCGGCCATTTTTTCCAGGCGGCCATTTTGGAACCGCCAATCAGCTGGCCGAAAATGGGGGCTTCGTGATGATTGCTTCCCCGCAATCATCACAAAGCGAATTTTCTCCATAGGAAACATCGAGAACAGTGTCGCTAAGCGATTTTGCCATAAAATGGAGAGATCGCTAAGCGAGGCACCACTGTATTGGTTATTTTGAAATTGCATATTTTCTCTATATTGTTTCAAGTGTCCATCATATCTTTCAATTTTTTGCTGTAGCTATTACACACTGCTTTAATTCTTCCATAGTTTCAACAATTGTTTTCCTTTCTAGGTCATAGATATAGTCTGGCTTTTACTATTTCATTTTTAAGCTCTGAAGCTTTCAAGTTTTTTAAATTGCTAATGTCTGCACGTAGTTTTTTTTTCAGCCAAATTTTTCATTTTGGAGTGTGTGTGTGTGTGTGTGTGTGGCACAAATTGGGGAGGCTTTCTCTTTCTGTGTTCTGGCTAATATAGTTTACTATTTTTTCCCTCAGTGATGTTTGCCGTTCTGTCAGCTCATAATATCTGGGTTGTTCCATAAGTTGTTCTTTTATTGATACTTTTTTCTTCCACTACCTGTACTTTCTATTATTCTTTTATTGATACTTTTTTTCTTCCACTACCTGTACTTTCTATTTGTCTTCCATGCTATGGTAATTGTTCTGTGTTGAATTGCAGTTCTGAAAACACTTTACTCTGGATGATAAACGTTCTCTGGTCCATTAATCATTGTTCAGTTATGCCACTGTTTGGATGTTTCCTTTTCCAAATTTCCATCATTCTTTTTTGAAAACCATGGACTGTTGTGTTTGCCTCATAATAACATTTAATAATTTCTTGATTTTCAGTGAGAGTCCAAGTTTTGTGTTTACATTGTTTCAGTAGCTTTGCAGCAGCCTCTGCTGGTTCCTTAACAGGGTCTGCTGAGCCCTGTAACCCATTTGTCACCAGATGCCCAGAGGCTATAGCATCTGATGCAGTCCTTGTTGACCCAGGTGATGACTAATCTGGTATGGATTTCTGTTTACTTCCTTTCATCATAATTGATGTTTGGTGGACGCAGTTGATCTGGCTTCTCAGCTGAGATCTGTCTGGCTTGGGAGATCCTTTAGCATAGCTCTCAACCTCACTGAAGCACAAAGTCCCTCCGCCTCAACAAGGTTGTGCCCATGGAGGGGATGATGATGATGATCATCATCATCATCGTCGTCGTCGTCGTCGACGTCGCCGTCGATGGTAGTGGTGATGGTAGTGATGTAGTTCTGGCCACTCCATATGCATACTGGAGCAATTTAAGATAGTGTGAATAAAGAGCCACTTTCCATTGTGAATTGAAAATCAGTCTTATAAAGAACAGCACAAGTGTTTAAAAATACGATGTGTGTTTTGAACTGTGATTCAGAAACTTTACTAGCTTTTCCTTCCTTATCTATTTTTCTGTTACTTCAACACAGCTGTGCCTGTGTGCTTAAATTTGGCTCATCTTTGTTGGGACAGGGCAAGAGAACAATGGTGGTCATTTTCATATGATGCGAACTTTGGAAATCAGCAGAGATGCTTGTTGTCTGTAAACGTATATCGTGAGGAATTATAAGGTCCCCTGGAAGATTTTGCACTTCTAGACATAAAATGTAGCTGTATTTATTTACAAAACCAAATCTGCCTGAAGGAGATGCCTTTCCCATTGTGTGTGTCACAGGTTAAAAGATTTGCTGTTGTCCACAGTAGCTGTCTTCACAGATGCTGAAGACAGTGGCTAGCATGAATAATTATTAATGTTGACAGCTAAATAGTTCACAGAGGCAGTAATGATGTATCCATTCACAGAGATGAGAAAGTGTATTTGCATGACTTTGAGCTATTTTGTTGAAATCTCTCTTGAGTTTGAGACTGAAGAAGACTATATTACATGTGGTACTTCATTAGAGAGAATTTCTTATGTACTGAAAAAGGTTCCATGAGCTTTTCATACTTCCCATTTTTTGCAAATAGTTCACTTTGGTTTTTTTTTTAAAATAAATTTTATGGTGCAAAGAAAGAATATGAAAACAAAGAACTAGCAAAAAATAATAATAAGTTCAACAGCATGAAGCCATCTGTAAATAAACTTAAATAAAAGAAGACATAGTGTGTACAAATCTGTCCATGTAAAGCTAATGCCTATATGTTACACATTCTATGGCTGAAAGGGCGAGGAGGTCCACATGTCATTGAGTAATAGAGAGTGGGCATTTGACTTCCCAGTGTTGTTAATGTAAGTCTTTTTGCCACCATAAAGGTTACCATTGCCACTGAGCATGAATTAATTTCCCCAATTCAGGCAAGCAATCTTAAAAATATGCAAATCAGTAAAATTCAAAGGTTACTCCTAAACAGAATTAGATTGAAGAGTGACATCTACCCAAAAGGAAACTGCCACTGCCATAGTGAAATTATAAGTTTAAAAGATGCATAAGTTGAATAATAACTCTATCAATTACCCAATGTATCAGACCTTTACCAAATCAATTTTGTGGAGTCATATAATTACAATTACATGGTTCATTTCTACTTATGGTGACATTTTCTAAGTATAGAATATTATTTAGAGGTTTACCATTACCTTTTTCTGGAGAATCTCTGGGACTACAACTTGCCCAAGGCTACACAGACTGGCTCTTTTCCTGGGAGGCATAGTGGGGAATGAAACTCTTGAACTCTTGACTGTGTGGCCATATGAGCTGTCCAGCCTGCTGAGGTTCATAGAGATAGCTGATATGGAGGTCAACACTGCTTTCCATTGATTATGGAAAATAGGGCCTGTGTTGTTTTGTGATTGGGAGAAAAACATGAGCTTTATTTATATGGTTGCTCAGGCAGGAAGGCCTGCAAAATTACAGCTCTGAAACATAAACATTTCAGTTTCCAATAGCTAGTTATCTGTGTTGTAAAGTTTGACTAGGATACTGGTTCTTAACCTTGGGTTACTCAGGAGTTTTGGACTGCAACTCCCAGAAGCCTTCACCACCAGCTGTCCTGACTGGGGTTTCTGGGAGTTGCAGTTCAAAAGCAGGCTAGTCATCTGTGGTGTAAAGTTTGACTAGGAGAATGGAAAGTTATCAAGAGGAGAATAACTGTTCAAAGAAAGTGTCTTGCTTAGTGTACTACAGATATAATGTGGCCCATATGAATTCTTACCTTGTTATTTTATCCGCAGGAATATTCAATATTCATAAAACTGTGCCTCACAAGGAAGCTAGGCCGGCAACATTCCCAGTGATATTTTGCATGGCTGAGAGATAATCAAAATGGAGAACAGCTTCAGGAGTCTGTTCCTTATACTTTTAGGAAAATAAACAGCAACAACAGAGTTCTCTTGAGAATCAGAATTTAGATTGCATGGTGAATACCTTTTTAAAACTCTTGTCTAGAACTGTTGAGCCGAGATCCATTGCCGGACTTTGGTATCCAGCACCCACAGAATTTGAAGTTTGTTCCCTGCTCCTTCTATTGTAGCCTTCTTTGATGCTATAAACTTGTTCCAGAGGATCTTCCAATTTTCCCAAGCAGATGTTTAGAGGGCAGAGGGGGCTACAGAAGCTGAAAGTAGTGGGATAGGGTGGCAATATGGTACTGGACTATACCTATGGGAACCGTCTATCAACCACTCTGGAACAGTTTGCAGTCTACAGATGTATAAACAGGCAATTTCCTCTTACATTCCTGCTTTTTCTTTCTTGTTCTATAGGCACTTCAGTATTAAACCAAGACTGAGACAAGAGTATTTAAATAAACACCAGGAACCACAGTATTAAGGTAAGCCATTCAGTCGCTCTCAGATAACTGTACTTATGAGTGTTCTAACTAGAACTAAAAGTCTGTAGAACCATTAGACCTGGACAAGATCTCCTGCCACATCAAGTTGAGCCTGAAGTGTTATAACTTTTGGTTGTTCATCCGGAGGGGAAAATGTTCTACTTCACACTTTTAGAACAGCCTATGCAGTCTGTGGAGGAAGAAATTGCATGCACTTAATTAGTCCAATTTACTTTGTATAGTTGGTAATGCTGAAGAATTTATTCTCAGAATTCTGCTGTGAACTATCCAAGGCCAGACAGCTTCTTTTCTCAAGATGTGTGTGTGTACTATGATGCTGAAAAAATAGTAAGAAGCAGAAAATCAAACCCCAAGAGCTTTGTAACCCATAGGACTTGGAAAAATTGTGGCTGTTATCTTCATAATCATTGCTTGGTGTTAAATTGCTGAAAGTGCCTGGTGTTCTGAGACCAAAAAGTAATTTGTTGAACTCTTAAATGGCCAAAGCTGTTTTGTCAATAACTGTTTTAAGTTTTAGCTTGTCCTCGGACGTTTGGATTACTGTATTGATGTGAGTTTTAGGCAGCACATTCATTGCCTTTAACTAAAAAAAAAAAGACAATCCTACAGTTCTTGAAAGTTTCCTGTCTATTTCCATGGACAATTGTTAGGCAACTACATGAATGCCTGTTTACAAGTGATGTTGAAATGTGTTTTGTAAAATGTACATGAATACAAATGAATTACACCTTAAGGTTCCTAACAAAGCTATTTGCCTGACTTCTGCAATGGCTCAGTCAGTTGTCTGCATTACTGTAAGTGAAGTGTATCTCTTTTTTGAGTAAGCAAAGCTCCCCTTTTTGCAACCAATAAGAGGTGTCACTGCCCTGTTGGTTCATCACAGCTGTACCATGGTGGAAAACTATCATATCTACTGATCAAGGGGCTACTGATAGTGGTGGGGCTGCATCTTTCTTCTGCTAGTACTTACTTCCAGGAACGCCTGTTCCAATCCACCAGAGAAAAAGATGTAGCATTCAAATGAAAAATGTCACTTATTGGTGACACCTTTTGAAGATTGTGTTGTTTTCAAATTAACAAAATCAACAAATTAAGTTGAACAAAACAAAACAAACAAGCTGTACATTTTGATTAAAATTAAAATAGCCAAACAACCATTCATTTTACTGCATATGTAGTAAGAACATTCCCACAGTCTTTAGCCATTCTTATGTAGATAAAAATGCACCCCAGAATTAGTGTCCCAAAGTGATAGTTGAGAAAATTTCAGGAGAAAACTGATAAACACAGTGTTAAAGGGTCTTCGGCAAAGATACAGCACATAAACATTCTGTGTTCATTTGTGTGCTAGAAAAACAATTGAGAAGTCAAGTTAGCCTTATTTATGTCTTGTTTGAAGATTTTGGGCACAGATCTTTCAATATAATAAATCCACTCATGTCCCCTGTGGTCCTGAATTCAGTAGTTCTGTGAGTCACAGATGGTAGAATGCAACTTTTTTACAACTTTCCAGCTCCCATATTGCTTGAAGTTTAATTTTGCATTTTCCATAACAGTTCATTTGACAAGGTTTGTGGATAATTAATACATATTTAAAAATTCACTCAGATCTAATTCTTTATACATTTGAAATTCTGGGAACAGCTATCTTGAAAAGTGATTCCCTTTTTTGAAGGACTCAGAGAGGCAACATTCCATGGTTTATTTTGTAACAAATAAGGACAGAGAAAGGAGATAGCTCTGTTGATATAATGTGGCTAACAGTTTAATCAGGTTCTTTGTCATGTGGTGTCTTAGATTTATATGCATGGATGTTCCATCATTATATCCGAGGAACAGGATAAGGGAAAGAAAATATCAACTTAAATTTATGTTGGTCAGCATCACTGTATTTCTCTGTTCTATGTAACTGAAATCCTTTCAATAAAAGATTAAAAGCAAAATGTAAAGGGTGGTAAGTAGGGAGGTGCATGGTGAAAACTTTTATTTTTGTTTCGTTTGGATATGTTTGTAGTTGTGTCTTCTATTTTTGGTTTTTCTGCACTAATTCTTTCATTTAACATGGAAGGAACTGTTTGGGGTTATTTGTTTTCATTTTTCTCAGTTCATGTTTTCTGACACCAGTCTAAAAAGGCCCTGAGGAACACATAAAACCCACTTCAAAAAGAAGAAGAAAGCAGAGGCAAGACAACCAATGTACTCCAAAAGCAAGCAACAATAGCCAACAATCACCACCACCAAACAAAAAATCTCTCACAAAAATATATATAGTGGTGCCTCGACTTACAACCATAATCTGTTCCTCTGGAATAACCTCCCTCCTAATATTCGCGCGGCTCCCTCGCTGGGCATTTTAAAAAAACAACTAAAAACATTGATGTATCGGCAGGCCTTCCCCTTTGTCAGTTTCTGATCTTTCCTTTCCTTCCACTCCCTAGTTCTGTCCCATCTTGCTGTAAGTTCTCCTATGTAAAATTGCTTTTAATTATATTGTTCTTGTTTTTATTGTTGTAAGCCGCCTAGAGTAATCTTAATTGATTAGATAGGCGGGATATAAATAAAATAAAATAAAATAAAATAAAATAAAATAAAATAAATAAATAAATAAAT